ATTAAGGTGGCTGACCCCAAATAGTTGGGATTAAGGCGAAGAAGAAGAAGAAGACTTTTATTTTGTAAAATTTAATTTTAAACAAATTTTGTATGAAATATTAGGTTGTATTGTATATGATTCGTCTGATATGATGAAATATTGGTAAATATGCCAATTTCGACAATTTTACGAATTATTACGTATTTTGACTTTTTTGTATATAACTAATGGTTATTAAATTGTTCGTAATTTTTTTTTCTATTGTATTATAAAGTTAAAAATAAGGGTTCCCATNATAAATTTAAAAACTGAAAAGGTACCCGGGTACCTTTCCAGTCACATAAGGGTTAAGAAAATGATAAATAAGGGTTTTTATCCTTGAAGGGACGAAAAAATAATGGTTTGACTACATTTTATTGTAGAATTTTTTAAACTTGATATTTTTTCTCTATAATAAAATTATAAATTCTCAATATTTTCTGAGAAAATGAGTGTATTACCAGATTTTGATCACTCTGTATAAACACAATTTGGTGGGTGAGCCCAAAGAATTTCCAAAATTTAAAAAATAAAGGACACCATAATACATATGGTCAACATTAAAATATGCTATGATAGACCATAACTTATTCAACAATTGAAATTGAACAAATATTATATAAATGTACCAATTGTTATGAGTAGACGTATGGTAAAAGCAGATATCTTTCACATATTTATTCCACAACCGTTTAATATGAACTAACACAATTTACAATAACAATATCACCTATACCCCTGTACAGGTGACTGATCAGTGTGACCACTGGTACATCACACCTTCCCCCCTTTTGTAAAAATTACAATATATACAAATATGATAATACACTATACAATATAACACTAGAACAAGGAATTAATCCACTAAAAAAACCCAGCACAGGGGGGTCGCGGCACAGTGGTGACGTGGCATAGTTGGATCAAGTATAATGATATCCGATAGTGATTAAAATCACTATCATAATAAAACGCTTCGATGCAAATCTATAGATAGTGTTTAATTTTAAAAAATTGGTGGATTATTTCAAAAGCTTCATAAAGTGCTAGTTCCTTATTAATATCCTGATTAAGACAAAGTATGTCGAATAAAAAAGAGATTATTAGAAAATAGTATTTCCCATAAAAAAATTATATTGATCAATACACTTTTCAATAAGTTATAGCATTATAAAGTTAAAAATGTAAAAAATAAAATTGAGAATTTTCACACAATAATAGCATTTGGTAGCCATTTTCACCTTGAAGATAAAATAAAGTCCGAAATTTTTTTTTNTACTACGTCCTTATAAGGTGTAAAATTAACAACGCTATTTTAAGTATAATAAATTATATACTTTTCAAATACAAAATATAAATTTGTTAACTATACATGCTATTTAGAGATGTCACAGAAGGACTAACCATACATACTAAATATTTAGAAGGAAAATAAATTTAAAAACTGAAAAGGTACCCGGGTACCTTTCCAGTCACATAAGGGTTAAGAAAATGATAAATAAGGGTTTTTATCCTTGAAGGGACGAAAAAATAATGGTTTGACTACATTTTATTGTAGAATTTTTTAAACTTGATATTTTTTCTCTATAATAAAATTATAAATTCTCAATATTTTCTGAGAAAATGAGTGTATTACCAGATTTTGATCACTCTGTATAAACACAATTTGGTGGGTGAGCCCAAAGAATTTCCAAAATTTAAAAAATAAAGGACACCATAATACATATGGTCAACATTAAAATATGCTATGATAGACCATAACTTATTCAACAATTGAAATTGAACAAATATTATATAAATGTACCAATTGTTATGAGTAGACGTATGGTAAAAGCAGATATCTTTCACATATTTATTCCACAACCGTTTAATATGAACTAACACAATTTACAATAACAATATCACCTATACCCCTGTACAGGTGAATGATCAGTGTGACCACTGGTACATCACACCAATTAATTGTAATAATCAATCATCTTAAAGTTTTGCAGTGGCGTATCTAGGATTTTAGCGTTTAAAGTGTAGCGTTTAATTTATAATTCTATATGATAAATATATTTAGTAGTACTAAAAAATTTGATAAGAATTGTTAATTAAATTTATTTCCTATAATTTATCACAAAATACTCTTTGTAATTAGGCTGTATTATTCAAACCTAAAAGAACACGGTACAACTACTACGCATAATTCATGACAAATTTTTTTAATTGTGTAAAAACGCTATCAGAAAAAATTTAATCATACTAATTTGTTTAAAGAAAAGTTTCATATGAAAATATAATACGTTTCTCTTATCTGATCAAATTCTTCATTTTCCTAACAAAAAATTTATAATTTGATATTCGATTTTACATTTCATATTAATTATTTCAATAATAAAAAATATTTTATTATTTCCTTTTTTTTTT